TGGATTTTGAAGGGAAGGTTTATATATGGAAGTAAATTTTCTTTGTTGGTTACTAGGGATGGAACGGGAGAAGAGGGAAAATACCTAGCTTGGTTAAAAAAAATTATATATATATACATATATGTATATATATACGTATATACATACATACATATATATATGTATGTATGTATATGTATATGTATATGTGTATAAGATTGGGCAATCTACTTCCGTAGGGATACTACCTCAGAAACCCAAGTACGGGTCACTGTGAGTTGGATCTGACTTGACAGCAGTGAGTTCGGTTTTGATTTTATGTATGTATGTATGTATGTATGTATGTACGTATGTGTATGTGTGTGTGTGTGTGTGTGTATAATATTATATATATTGTTGTTGTTGTTGTGTGCCGTCGAGTCGGACCCGACTCATAGTGACCCCTCCTTGGGTTTCCGAGGCAGTATCACTATGGAAGTAGATTGCCCCATCTTCCTTCTGAGGAGTGGCTGGTGGGTTTGAACCACCAGCCTTCTGGTTAGCAGTCAAGTGCCTTAGCCACTATGCTACCAGAGCTCCCATTATATATATATAAATAATATAATGGGACTATTATGATGATTAAAAAGTCCTGAATTTTGTGTTTATTATTCTTTTCATTCTCCCTTCCTCCCGCCTTCTGTCTTGTTTATAGTTTTTATAAATACTGAGTAAATGCAAAAGGATATTTATGAAATATTTGTTGAATACTTAGAAAAAAAAAACACTACAAACACTTATGTGTTTCTCATTTTGTTTAAGAAATAGGTATTCTCAGAGTGCATGTTGAATACAAAAAAAAAAAAAGACAATTAAGAAAAACAAACCAAAAAATGAAGGGAGCACACATAGAGGAATGGTGAGGTATGGGAAATGCTTTGTACACAGAGGATAAAGATAACATCAAGGCAAGAGTAGGATCAACAACACGTTCAACCTCTGGTACCACCAGTTACTGACTGGAGAAGTATCCTGGAGAAGTGATTTGACTTCCCTAAGTTTCAGTTCTCTCATCCTTAAATTGGAAATAATGTATCTGACCCTACATGAAAAATGAATATTACCTTTATATCTGAAGCCTCCAACATGCCCCTCTCTGAATCCAACACCTTTCCTCCCACACTCCAGTAGTAGTCACTATCTCGCCTTTATTCAAACTTTTTGTTAAGGAAAATTTCAAACATGGACCAAAGCGAAAATAGCATAATGAAACCCCATATGCCTATCATTTAGCTTCAGTGATCAACACATGGCTAACATGGCTTCATTTTACGCCCCTCCAATGGATTACTTTAAAGCAAATTCCAGACATCCTACATTTCACAAATATAAATAAGGATTTTTTTTATTAACATAACCATATTTCCATTCTTATATCTTAAAACAATAATAATAATTCCTTAATATCACCAAATACTCAGTTATTGTTTAGATATCTACTTATCTCATGAGTTCCATAATTCTACAATACTCATTGGCATGGAGTCGGTTCCGACTCATAGCAACCCCTCCTTGGGTTTCCGAGGTGGTATCTCTATGGAAGTAGATTGCCCAGTCTTCCTTCTAAGGAGTGGCTGGTGGGTTTGAACCGCCAGCCTTCTGGTTTGCAGTCAAATGCTTTAGGCACTACACTACCAGAGCTCCCAATTCTACAACAGAACATTTTAAACCAAAGTATCCTATCTGAACCTGTCTTAGTTATTATCTAGTACTGCTGTAACTCAAATACCACAAGTGGGTGGCTTTAAAGAATTGAAATTTATTTTCTCCAGTTCTGGAGGCTAAAAGTCCAAAACAGGGTCCTTGCTGGGTCAATTCCTTCCTTTTCAGAAGCCTAGGTATTTCTTGGTTCCTTGGCTTGCAGAGGATGTTAAAACGGAACCTTTCTTCCCTAGTACTGTGTGCTTGTATCTGTATATAATCTACTCTTTTTTATAATGAAGAAGTGATTAGGTTTAGGACATACCCTATACTGATACGGCCTCATTAACTTAAAAAAATATATATCATTTTCTAAACAGAATTGCATTCACAAGCACGAGGATTGGGATTCCAAAACATATTTTGGAGGAACATGATTCAACCCATAACAGACCTAAGCCTATTCTTGTTCTCAGGATGGAGTAATCATAATAACATTTTTTAAAAATGCATTTTATTGAAATATAATTTATTTACAATGAAATACACAAAACTAAAGTGACATGGGTCAATGTGTTCTTTTTTTTTTTCAGTGTTCCCTCCCCTCCCCTCCCACCCCTGGCAACCAATAAAGAAGGTTTCCTTCCATATATAAACCTTTCCTTAACCCTCCACAACAACGAACAAATACTATATTTATCCGTCTGTGATTGACTTATTTCACTCAGCGTAATGTCCTCCAAGTTCATCCATGTTATGCAGTGTTTTGCTGACTCTCCATTATTCTTCAGGGTTGCATAGTATTCCATTGTGTATATGTACCATAGTTTGGTTACCCATTCTACTGTTGATGGGCAAGTAGGTTGTTTCTATCTTTTTGCTATTGTAATTTGTTGTTGTCATTTTATTACATGCTTTTTCATGGTGTTGATTTCTTTGTTCTATATAATTTTCTATGCTAAGTTTGTTTTGTTTATGAATTGTGTTATTACTTTCTTCATTGCTATTGTTTTAGTATTTGTTGAATATTTGTGCTGGTCCTCTTTTTCATTTTGATGTGAAAGTTTATCACTTTTCTTTGAAATTACCCTGTGATTTATAGTTTTCTTCCCAAGTTTAGAACAGTCCATTCTGTCTTATAGTTGTCTTGACTTCCCTACCATTTAGAAGTTCTGTAACTACATAATTTTTTTTCCCTCTTTTTGGTTTGTAGTTGTCCTCATTTATCAATTGATGTCTCTGGTTCCCTGCTTTCAATCTTGTAGGCTTATTTACTTTGGATACTTCTATAACTGAATTGGTTTCTGGGTTATGACATCATGTGTGCTAATGCTCAGTTAATGTTTGCTGTTGTTGGTTCTCTGTCCAAAGGATTCTCTTTAGCATCTCTTGTAAGGCCAGTCTGGTTTTAAAAAATTCCCTTAATTTCTGCTTATCTGGAAAACCCCTAATTTCACCATCATATTTGAGGGACAATTTTGCTGGGTATATAATTCTTGTTTGGAAATTTTTCTCTTTCAGGGCTTTATATATACCACCCATTGTCTTCTTGCCTGAATGGTTTCTGCCAAGAAATCTGAGCTTAGTCTTATTGTTTGCCCCTTGTAGGCACCGTTTTGTTTTTTCCATGCTACTTTCAGGATTCTTTCTTTGTCTTTGGTTTTGGAAAATTTAATGATGATATGTCTTGGTGATTTTCTTTTGGGGTCTGTCTTGTTTGGGGTTTGTTGGACTTCTTAAATGGATATATTCTCATCTTTCATCACACCAGGAAAATTCTCTTCCAACAAATCTTCAACTATTTTTTCTGTGGTTTTATTTGTCTCTTCCTGTTCAGAAATTCCTATTACACATAGGTTATTCCTTTTGATGGTATCCCACATGAACCTTAGGCTTTCTTAATTTTGTTTTAATCTTTTTCTGATTGATCTTTTTCCAAAGAAGTATTGAGATATTTGGCTTCAATCTCACTAATTCTGTCTTCCATTGATTCAATTCTACTCCTTTGCCCATTCAATGCATTATCTATTTCTGAAAACTTAGTATTAATCTTCTGGATTTCTGTCTGTAGATTTTGTATCATTTTTAATTTATTTTGTCATTTTGTTTTTGTATTGTCTTTTGAAATTGTTCTAGGGTCTTCTCTGTGTTTCCTCCTTTTTGTCAGTGTTTTCCTTGATCTGTCTCTCAATTCGTTGAAGGTACCTAAATATAATTATTTTTAATTCCTTATCAGAGAGTTCCAATGCTGCATCTTCCTCAGGGATGTGTTTTGGGTCTGTGTCCTGGTCCTTTGTTCCTCTTTCATATTTATCTTGCTTCTTTGTGTGTACTGTGATGCTCTGTTGCCTCCAAGGCATTGTGACATTTTTGTGTTTATATTTAATTGGTGATTGTATGTTGGAGTGACTTGTCTGCAATTTTTGTTTTGTTTTGTTTGTGTGTTATCTACATAAGCAGGGTACTGTGCTGTATGCCTCTATTCACTAGTTGGCAACACTTATACACTCACCACCTGTCTCCTTTCCCATTGCCAGCCTCCCTTATGTCCCTGCTGCCCTTGGCAAATGGGGTCTATTCTTAGGTCCCTGGAATCCAGATGAGAATGTTGTCACTTTAAAATCCCAAATGGCTACGTTTGTAAAGATTCAAAATAGCTGTGCCCTCGGTCACTTTAAATATCCAAAATGGCCACCACTTGTAAACACTCAAAATAGCTGTGCCCTTGGTCACTTTAAATATCAAAATAACTGCTGCTTGTAAATAATCAAAATGGCTGTGCCCTCCAGATCATTAAAAGTCCACAGTTTGGGTTATCTCCCACCTTGCTGTTTCCCTTCCGAGTCATAGGCCACCAGCAGTTGTCTCTGCAGCCCTTGGTGACCAGGGCTGATCTTTAGGTCAATTCTCAGGTCCCACTTGGAAATTTCAGGCTGTTGGGCCAGTCAGAGTAGGTGACAGTTCACAGCTTCGACTGTCTCTGTACTCACTGTTTTCATTCAGATTCCCACTAGTTGGTGCCTAATCCACTTCTGTATACTCTTTTTCAAAGCTCAGGGCTCCAGGATTATCTTCTGTATATCTTGTAATTTGGTTTCATTTTTATTTGTTGAAGAGGGTGTGTGTAACTTGTCTGTCTATTCTTCCATCTTACTGGCAATCATAATAACATTTTTTAAAGAAAATAAATGTCCCAAGGTGGACATTAACCTTAAGAAACCTATGGACCTCATAATAAAATACTAAATCATTTTATTTACCATTGGCATATCAATACTTAGAGCAATCTGTGGGTCATCTTCAGCCCTTTGTATGATTTCATTTTCAAACATCTTTCACAGATATTGATCCTAGGAATGGAATTCCAAAGTTAACTCCAGGGGATAATCCATATATGTACCCAGAACAGAGTAAAGATTTCCACAAAATGGGATCAACTCTTCCATCAGTGATGTTTTCAGTGTAAGTGTTTATCAATAGCTGGGTTAATTAGCTAACTTTAAAGAATTGTGTATCTCTCTGCTATATATATATAAATTATTATTTTTTAAAGTAGATAGATCCCAATAGGACAAAATTGGGTGAAAATTTAAAACATCTTTCACATCTAATTAATGTATGCATGCATGCCTGTATAGTCGAAATACACAGGATCTTGATTATAATTTAGAAGTGGTTTTTAATTTTGTTCTTATTGTTAAATCACAAAATTGAAGACTTTTCATTGTTCATACTGATTGTTTAGTTGTTGTTGTTGTTATATGCCATCGAGTTGGCCCCGACTCATAGTGACCCCTCCTTGGGTTTCCGAGGCAGTATCACTACAGAAGTAGGATTGCCCAACCTTCCTTCCGAGGAGTTAGTGGTATCTATTTGGGTTGGCTTAAACTTAGAACTAAACTTAGCCCAAAGTGTTGAGGAGAAAAGAAGTTCATTAAATTAAAAGCAGTTGGTGTATTACATTTAAAATACTATTTTAAAAATAAATTGTGTGATTTAATTATGTTTATTAAAATGATGAAAAATTATGGCCATTATAGTTTGAAGCCTATACATGAAAATTAATAATAGAAAATAATCCATTTTATTAAACACAATGACATACTGATCTCTTTGTCATAGAAGCTATACCAATTTTGGTTGCCTTTCCTATTTTTCAGAGTGCCTTATGAAAAGAAATTTGATACATTTATTCCACTTGAGCCTCTTCCACCAATTCCCAAGTGAGTTCTCTCATCGTGTTTTATATTCTTTCTTCTTTATAAAAATATCAATTGTTTATAATTTTTCTCCTCTAGAGGAGTCCATAGACTGTAAAAAACATAGCAACAACAGCAACAAAAAAACCCCAAACTCACTGCCGTTGAATCAGTTCCGACTTATAGCAACTCCCCCTAGGGTTTCTGAGGCAGTATCACTACGGAAGTAGATTGCCCAATTTTCTTTTTGAGGAGTGGCTGGTGGGTTTGAACCACCAGCCTTCTGGTTAGCAGTCAAATGCCTTAGGTGCTACACCACCTGAACTCCTAAACCTAGAGACCTTTTGAATTCCAGCAAGAGGGTGGGGCAAAGTTTGTGAGTAGGATTTTCAGAGAGACATTTAGAGAATGTCTTGGTTATCTAGTACTGTCATAACAAAAAATACAAGTGGGTGGCTTTAAATAACAGAATTTATTTTCTCACAGTTTAGGTGTCTAGAAGTCCAAATTCAAGTGTGGTTCTAAGGGGAGGTCCTTCTTTGTTTCGGCTTCTAGTGGTTGCTGGCAATTCTTGGCGCTCCCGAGTGTGCTGCAGCATAAAGGCTTGTCTAAATTCATGAGGGATAAAAATCAGGATCAGCACAAAGCTGGGTCTGTTAGGTG